ATGGAGGCCAGGGCGTCGCAAGCAAGGTTCGACGGGCTGGTGAGGAGGGCAGACGTCAAGGAGTTGACACGGAGCCGCGACGCCGCAACGGCGAAAGCTGACGCCGCCCGCGTACAAAAGAACAAGGCGAACGCGGCAAAGAGGAAGGCAGAGAGAGTAGCAGCAGAAGAAAAAGAAGCAGCAGCAGCAGAAAAAGTTGAAGCAAGCAGGCAGCGAGAGCTACGCCAGGTAGCAGCACAAGCTGATAGGGGGCGGGGTGGTAGGCAGTCGTCTTAGGTTCGTGGGCGCGGGCGGAGGCAAAGCGAGCGCGGTGGTGGCCGGAGCACCTGGGATGATGTGCGAGAGTTTTTTTTTGTTTTTTTTGGTGCGTGTGTTTTTCTTGCTGCTGCTGCCGCTGCCGCTGCTGCTGCTGCTGCTGCTGCTGCTGCTGCTGAATTTTTCGGTGAAATGATTTTGTGCCACGGCACAAAGGCTGTACCGCCGGCGCTACCACAGCTCTTTCTGTCGTTGCTGCGCCATCAGTAGCTCTGGCTTACGTACTTGCTGCGCAGTACCTCTTCGGCCTCAGGCAGGCGAGGAAAGGTTGCAAGCGTGGGCAGTTTCTTTTTGATGTTGTGTTGTGTCAAATCAACTTTATTTTTTCGTGTCGAAAAAAATATATATGCCTGCCATCATCCATCAACTTCGGCGTTTCTTTCGTCATCGCCTACATTTGTGTCACGGGGCAAAGGCTGTACCGCCGGCGGCACTGCAGCTCTTTCTATCGTTACTGCGCCATCAGTAGCTCTGGCTTATACACGTGCTGCGCAATACCTCTTCGACCTCGTGCAGGGGAGGAAAGGTCGCGAGCGGGGGCAGTGCCTTTTGGGTGGTGTTGCGTTGTTTCAAACGACGTTTTTTTTTTCGTGTTGATTCAAAATGCATCTGCCTTCATCCATCGCGGATTCTTTATTACATCTCATCGCCGTCCTCCCCGCTCAGCTCGTCGGACAGACCACTCTCAGACTCCGACTCCGACACAACATCGTCGACCACGCTCCTAACCTGCCACTCGGGGCCATGATTTTTGGCGCCGGTCAGCAGTGAGGTGGTCGCAGGTCTAGTTTGATCACGAGGGAGCACACGCATCAACCTCACCGCCGTGTGTTGTCCGTGTATGTGTTGTTGTTCGCGCGCATCCACGCCCGCTCAAAATACAAGCCATCGCAGCACATGTTCAGTCTGTTCGCCGTGGAAATGGACGCCGCTGTCAAAATTAGTCGGCTTTGATTGGCTTGGCAACGAAAACAAAAAGAAAAAAGTCTGGTCGAAAGAACCTCCGCGTGGCAGAATTTGGGCTAAAAAACAGGGTCAGGCGCAGGGCTAACAGAGTCCCGTCGTCGTCCTGTACTTTTCGCGGGACTGTGAAAATGCTAACAAGTCTGACGGTATGATGGACCATGATACGCAGCAACTGCGAACAAGTGCTAAACCACATATTTCATTGATCCTCTCTCAAGAAACACTGTTCGGATGTTAGAAAGGCTTAGGCTGACTCAGTAGTCTAATGGGTAAGCCTTAGGCTGACTCAGTAGTCTAATGGGTAAGCCTTTCTAACACAAGATATACTCTCGGCTGGTAGCCACCCGGTTGGTCACTGGCATATTTGGAAGTAGGTATCTCCGGGGACGGAACCCTCGCCAGGCGCTGAAGAAAAAGAGTCTAACAAATGGTGCTTGTGCGAGTGAGCCGCCGGGATTCGAATCCGTGCGTGCATCCTGTAGACTAGTTTAATGGGTAGCCTTTCTAACATCGGAAAGTGCACGGAGGATAGGTGGTTGCATCCCACCATAACATGCAACGAGACCAAGCCTGACGTACTGCTTGAAGTCAACACGCAGCCTCGCCTACACATCAATTTCCCAGCGCACAGACTGTGGACTGCTGCAGTACCACCGCCTCTGTTGTAGGTATCGATACTAACTTACCATGGCTGTTTGACCAGTTCAGCAGCCCACGGAACGTCGGCGAGATCTCTGCTTTGCGCAGCACAGGCAGAGCAGTCAACCCAACAGAACCCCAGAAACAAGGGGGCACCGTGGATGCAGATACGTACAGGCCCGAACCAACAAGCTCACAGTCTGTAGTACTGCAAGTGGTTCGGTGGTTTGCGTTTGTAACCGCCGGTACCTTGCACACCAGCGCGATAGCTAGAAGCGCGACACCTGCAAGCGACGGCAACCTGCTTCGTCTCAACGGTCACAGTTCTCTCGTGCTATCCCTATCCTACGGGTATCATGTCTGCCAGACCCGTTATCAAGACGAGCACAATGGCACCAGATATGCAGGTAACGACCAACTTACGCACAACGTACACGGCAGGACACAGCTGTATTCAAGATAGGTTTTCTTCCGACGAGAAGTTGGGGTGGTGTTGACGAATGCCGATCGCAATGAGAGTGCAAAATAATCATTTCCACGTACACAGGTCGGTATCAAGTAGTGGGTCAAATTGCTTATCATACCACTCCCTCGAACTAATCATGCAACACATTCAAGCGGGATCAATGCCGACAAATCGCCGCTTCACACCACGGGAATGGACCGCGTCGAGTGTTGTATCAGTACGGACATACCAAGGTACTGGGTAGAGAGAGATCGGAACGGTTTTTAATGTGAAGAAAATAACAACCTCGGCAATGGCGCAGCGGCCGGAGTATGATTGAACGTAGTGGAACACGTGCATAGCTGCTCGTACTTGTCAAGGGTTGTTCTGCACCGATATGATTACTGCGACTGTGTACGATTTTTATGTAGACTATACTCTGCGCGTGTGCTGTCCCTTTTTTTCAGCCATCGACGACATTCCCAACGGCAGATTGCTGCTGTCCGTTTAATTAAGTCCCTAAACGTGCATGTTTAACCTACAAGAAGCCACTCCCAGAGAGGGTGCATGTTGTCGCTGGTTCCCTACTAGCGCGTATAATGGCATATCGCTCGGCTAACCATACGAGTCCGCGGTGAAACAGGAGGCTGCGATCCAGGTCGCCCAGGACGCTATTCGCGACAATAATTTGGAGAAGGACATTGCAAACGCGGTGAAGGCTGCATTTGAAGGCCTTTATCCCTCGCTGTAAGTACGTGTAGCACACAAGCCCGCACCTTTTTGCAACACGCAAGATCCTGAATACGGGTATCTTTGGAGGGGATGCCGCGGGGGAAAGAGGGAACAGCTTTGTTGAGTGCGTGGCGTTTGCGAAATGAGAAAAGAAAAACAGGGGTCTGACACATCATGGTCTCCTCAAGGTGTCTACCCCTGCAGTTAGGTGGTTGTACTGATCACATGTAATCGGTACTGTCAAATCCCGTAGAAACTCGTGTGGGTGCGGGTTTACCATTATCGCGCGTCATCGAGCAGTACCGAATGCGCGTGAAGGTTGAACAACTTTATTCTCGACGACAGAGTTCCGACCCCTCGATTAGAGGCTCCACAAGTGACGACTTTTTTGAGATCAGTATTGCAGGAGACTGAGCTCCTGCAAACTGAAAACACGTTCAGTCCACAGGCGGAGCACATGCGCCGGAAAGTCATGTATACATGTAGGAATGAAACCCTTCAACATAGTCTATTGGGCTGTTTGAAATTCTCCTCCTTGCCTGCAGTAGTCTCGCCTTCGAACCCGGTCGGATGGCCAAAGTTTCGGGCTCATAGATCGACGTGGCGCTGGCTTGAATTTGGTGTTCGAAAGGGTGGCAAACTCGGCTTCATGGCCCGCAAGTAGTGATGGAACAATTACTTCTCACGAGATTATTGGCCACATTGCGCGGAGGAATTCCTCTGTGACTTGACGGCCCGTCGCTACTCAGTACTTCGAAGTAGTACCGAAGGAAGGATTACACCGCAAGCGACATACAGCACGGCCGAGATAGTTATAGACAGAATGGTAAGACAAATGAAAAATGCCAACAGCGCACAAATGTTGCTTCGAGAATTGCCTTTTCACACACACACATACCCCATATCCATGACCAACAGGTGGCACTGCTTTGTCGGCAGGAATTTTGGATGCTTCGTCACGCATGAGCACACAAAGTTTGTGTACTTGTACATCGGGCAAATCGGCGTATGCCTTTTCTCCACCGCATGACCACGAGAGGTCGCCATATCCCCTCTAGCCGCATCTAGAGTTCTCGCGACGGGTCTTCTGCAGGAAGGTCTCGAGATTATCAGCAATGGGCCAAGGCGAAAGCTTGGCAAGCGTTACCACGTGCTAGTCAAAGGAGCACACGAAGGAAAAGAGAGGTCTAAGTCAGCGATATTCACAACATTATCTTTGTTGTGGGCTGGTGTTCTGCTCACCGCCAAGAATAGCACTATCTGTGGGCCACAGTCGTTCAATGGGAATATGTAGGCCAAGATCAGCCCGTACCGTTGCAAGTGTGTTCAATCCTACACGTGCGAGGCAACTTCGTCGCAGTGTCCCGGGAGGTCAACCCCAGGAGCGTTAAAACTGCAGCAACGTAGCCTATGTAACTGACCCAGGGTAAAGGCGTACGAATCTGTATTCGCATGGCTGCAACACTACTGCAGTTCGTGGCAGTTTTGTGCCGAGCATGCGTTCACAGACGATGGACATGTGCCGAGTGATATTCCAATTTCCGCTAACCGTAAAAAACGCAGGACTTAAGAAACCCGCGTGTTCGATCGTTTTCACGATTACTGAAAAAACCATCTTCAACCATTTCCTTCTGTTTTCGTTGCAGCTGGTAGAATGTTCTCAATCGATCCCGTTGATGGAAATAGCTGCTGGTGCTTCAGCGGTATTTTCACCGCAAACTTGAGGCCTTCGTGCAATGTACTCCATTATTCGGTATGACCTTGTGTAAACATTTCCCAACTTGGGTACGGGGAGCACAGCTCGAAGTTCGAGTATTACGCAGTACATAATCGTAAAGCACGGAAGGAAGACATGCCACAATACCCGACCGCGGTAGCACCTCTCCCGAAGGGGTCTATTGAGGTCTAAGCGCTTACACCCAATGAGAGGGTTGAGGGGCACCTGGTGGATACTAGACTCAACTGATTTGAATTTGGTACTTGAGTTTGGTACATCCTTCACGCTGAGAGCTCGTGCACCAAACATTTATTGTTGTTTCGATCACTTTGTTGCCGTTGTCGCCCTCTTCGCGCCAAACGTTTTTGTGATTGCTACTCAAACCCTCCAAGGGCTTACTGATCCATCTCACAAGAGATAGCTTCCATACCCGATGGCGGTACCCGCTCAATGATTGGAAGACGCACTGTGCCGAGAGTACATGATACCATTGATGAACACGGCCATAAATGCGTTGTCTACTTGCTCTGTTTTCCAGCCTTGAGACTATTTCGGGCACAAATTACTCTCGAGCAAGTTGAGACATGAATCCAAGTGGCATCGACTCCGCCTGCGTTTGCGTTGTGACGCTTCAGACGAGAAATGCACGAGTCGATGCTTCTCAGTCCCTCTGTGTCAGAAACGTGATTACTGTTTTCCACACGGTAGTGCGGCAGCAGAGGATGCCCGCTAGACGTTCCTATGGTTTGTGTTGTTCGTCAGGACGACCAGACGGCGGAGGAGGCGACCCAAAAAAGTTCCAGATGGCTAGGGTGCAATCCTCTGCCGCCGAGATGAGCTGTCGCTCATCCCTTGTCCACTGCACGCTCGTGATGGCACCGGCATGAGCTCGTCCGCAAGCCACGGTCTCGCAATTCGTTGCCAGGTCCAGGACCTAGCGGTGAAGTTAACGAGGGCATGTGTAAAGCTAAGAACCTGAAGCTTATCACCCTTACACAGGGGTTTCGAAAGGTGACGGCGAGGGCCGAGAGTGGACGTATCTTGAGTGGACTTTGTTAGAGGTCTGGTGTTCGGCATTTTTCAGTCGGCATCATTGGGGCCAGGTTTCCGCAGAGAAGATCGCGAAAGCGAAGTGTTTCCCATGCCTTGATGGAAGTGTCACCTGCTTCTCTCAGCAGGGCACCAATGGCTACACGTCTCCAAATTCAGCATGCGTACCCATCGCACGGTCACCAACAGGATAGAAAGAGAGCCGTTCGCATTGTGATAATTTCTCGGCAACGGTTCGTCTCTCCTCGATTGGTCCCACTGGGCAAATGCAAGGTGCCGCCCGCCTGAAGTGAAATTCGCGCGGTAGAAACTGTGCTTACCTTGATGAGTTCATCGTCACCACCGAGTGCCATATACCGCCCAGATGGTGACACGCTCACGCAGCTCAAGCGCTGTTTCGAAGGGTCTTGCATGACCTAGTCGATGGATCGACCCAAAAACGAGTTGGACGGGCGGTAATAGGTGGAAGGGATACAAGAAGCTCGTCAACCGCTCCCAATCTATCGGTGAAGTGGTGGGCCGGGTGTGGCCGAAGTACTGCCCTGGCTCCGTGGATGAGGGTACATTGTACTGGCCAGCGGGCTTGCCATTTCATCGTCTGGCGTACACCCAAGTACGAGGGACCGAGGCGTTAACGGGAAATGAGTGGTCCTTATCAGCGACCGTTGCGGCTCAAGTGCGCATGTGAACCTTCCCGATCTTCGGACATCACCAGGAACTTTCTCAGGTCCATTCTCCACCACCCGTGATCATTCAGCTCCGTTACCATGACCCCCCCACTTGACACAATTGGTGTTTTCCGTACCTGCACTGGGGCTGGGTAGTCACAATCCCATGTCAGAAGACGCCCATGAATATCGCAAGTGATGAGCTCGTTTTCGGAGTCCATGCGTTGGGTCATGCCCTGAAAGGCTCCGCCGCGCGTCCTGTGTGGGCACGACGTTGACGACGCAACGTGTTAGAGCATGAGCCGTGCGGAAACAACACAACCTCTCTTCGGCCAGCCATGTTTGGAACACGGTGGAAGTCCATTCGACCTTTCGCGCCGTTGCAGCGACGTTACCGAATGGTTCCCGTGGCGGGACGACTCTCTGCTAGTTGCTCAATAGGGCCCTGTTTTGTGGCGGAAATGGCAGGAATCGAATCGCACGCCCCCACCACCTTTGACAAGGATTGCCCTCAAGAAAATGTAGCATATGGGCCTTTGGAGATGGACATGGCGGTGTGAGGTGTGAAAACCGTGGTGAAGGTTGCACGACTCACATGTGTGCGACGGTGCGCTTCTCCTTGCGTAGATCGTACGTCAATACCGTGCAGTCCGCCCCCGCGGAGTGCACCAAATTCGGGGACGCCACATCCACAAGCACCGTTGTCACCCCCTTCTGATGCTCGGAGAATCGCAACAAAAGCTCTCTGTGCGAATGCACGACACAAGACATCAGAGTGGGTACAATCGGGAAGAGATATTTTCCTCGCACCGATAATCTATCTTTGATGAAGGTGTTAGTTGCCGCAACTAAGTATTCCAACACTGCACCGACACACTTTGACTTACCTTCCTGATTCAGGAAGAAACCGGGGTGTTGTTGCCTAAGGATGCCAGCAACAAAATGCACCCAACTATTACCCATACATGGTGTGCATATGAAAACTGCACCATGTACACATGATTGCACCATGTACACGGAATAGGAGACTGTCTGATGCCTTCCTGCGTCGACGTGCCTCGGTGTTGTCCGCGACAGAGAGGCGTGCCATAGAACCCTCGCGTGCAGTGCACGGTGTTTTGACCGAGGACAACAGCGTGTCAGACCTTGTTCCGCTTATTGTCTTCCCTGCCGACCCTACTACTCACGTACACCCAAAGGTAGGACCAGATAAGGAATGCCCATACACAGGCAGGGCCGACATATCGAGCAAGAAGAACGTGAGTCTCGCGAAGACGAAATTTCTGATTTTTTCGTCCGACAGGTGATCTAACGTCGAAGTGTTCCGAAATCGACCTGGCAGTGCCAACAAGGAATGCCCATAGACTGGGGCTCGCCAAAACGCTGACTCACCTGGTGCGGAGGCTCCACACACTAACACTGCCGTCCTCGGCGCCGGTGACCAAAAAGGACGCGGAGGAGTCAAACCGCACGGCACAGCACGTCACCGCAGCTCGGTGGGCCTTTGGGATTGCCCAGCGCAAGGCACCGGTAGCTGCGTCGTAACACCTAGAGTGGGTTAGCAACTCGCTTTAGATATCTGGAACCATTTCTTGACGGTAGACACTGAAATGAAAACGTGTCGGCTTGGGAAGAAACCTTTCATGCCCCGTTCGGAGCGCGCCTAACATACCTCACGGAGCAATCGCTCCAGCCCGTCACCACAGCCTCGTCCCCGAGCCAGCAGAGGTACAGAGCGCGGGCGCTGCCGGCGGATCTCTGGGATCGTTCCGAGGCCTCCGCCACAACACCGAAGTTGCACAGTTCCCAGATTCGCACCGTACCGTTTTGGGCACACGTTGCGAACGCGTCGCATCGATCACCGCACGCGACAGACAGCACCGGGCTTCTTTGAGATGATGACACCTGTTCCATGTTGGCCGGGTACATGATATTGCAAGCATTAGGGGAAACGGTCGCTTTCGGACGGTGGTAAGGTGGTGCAGTCGCCACGGTCGGTCGATATCGGGAGGTCACTACAACAACGGAGGCCAGTAAGTCGTGAGCTGGGTGTGTGCGTGTAGCAGCATGTTCGAGAAAGATGCACCGGTCAGGCAGAACCCTTCTTTGGCAGCAGTGTAAAAAGTAATTCACACATGCACAGCTCCACTTGACGCAGCAAACATCCGATCGGGCAGAGAGGGCGCGCAAAAGTGCCGATGCTGCCGGGGTCGTTAGTCGCCGATCGCTTTTCCCTTTGAAGCTCTTTGAGGTGCACCAAGAAGGTGGGGTGCCTAGCAATGAGACACCACGCTGAAGTGTCAATGAACAGATCGGGGTCCTGTTTACATTCGTAGATAAGTGGAAGCTTCAAGAATTATTCCTTTCGGTCGATTGGTACGGGACATTTCAGGGTAGCTCTCCATACCTTCGATGCGGAGAGGTCGGCGAGCAGCAGTCTGTACACGGACCCTTCCTGTGTCCCTGCGAGCAGCTCGCCGCTGCCCGCAACTATGCTCAAAGACACGACCCCACCGTCAAGTCTCGTTTCAAGCTCTTGTTGCCATACCATGTCAGCACCAACGATCTATTGACGATGGTAGAGGCGAAATGGGAGGCGGGCATTGGTTCCGCAGCTGCTTAGTGCGCCGACGCTGTGTCACTAGCTGTAATGCTATCGTGTTTTGGTGGACGTTTAAGGCACCTTAAGAGTGGATTTCGATGAATGGCAAAATACCTTAACTTTACCGTCCATCCATTTCCAGACACACTGCTGGATA